GGGGGGGGGGGGGGGGGGGAGAGAGAGAGAGGGAAGAGAGTGAGAGAGAGTTTCACGTAACTGACAGAAGTAAAAACCGTGAGCGCAGCACGATACGGCCTGTAGAAAGAGAACTATGTTGCAAATCGCGTGGTGAGTTTTAACGGCAACGTGAAAAAGTCGGGAATCTGAGCAGAATGAGGCAGTAGGAGTAACAGTAGCAGCAGCTGCTGCTATTGCTGCTGCGAACGGATGATCGCAGCTATGCAGACACACTAATCGTATCGGTGCGAGCCGTGTCCTGTGCCGCTTACCTGTTCGCTCGCGCGCTTCTCCTCGGGCAACATGAAGTAAGCGTGAAACTCCTTGAAGCCGATGCTCTGGAAGATGCCTTTCGTGTAATCGGGTGACCTGGAATGTAAACATTCTCTTGAATATATGCGTCGGTCCTTACCTTCCCGCGGCTTCCACGGGATTCTCCCACCTTCTTCACCTCTTGACTTGCCTCCCCTGACACCCTTCGTCTTCCGCGTTACCGTTTCAGTATCACTAATGATCAATTAACCAAGATCTCGTTGGAAGACCACTGATCAGGCCACACTACACTTAGTAAAGGTGTATGTGTGTGTGTGTATATTGAACGCAACCATGCAATCGGACGAATTGCGAATGCGCGATCCGCGATCTTTTTGCCGAGTCTTAAAACGCGGCCGGCCTTTTACGTTTTGATCGCGCCTGAGATCCGTTTAACGAGAATGTTTACGGTTTCGCGTCCGACGTCTCTCGAGAGGTAAGATCCCCTCAATTATAAAAAGAGAGAGGAGGAAAAGAAAGGAGAAGGGAGAGAAAAAAAAAGCACCTTAAACTTTTTCATCAGTAATAACGTGTCGCCGAACGAGATTACGACTTTGCCGGGGCGACATGGATATAACTTCCCCAAACGCAGTTTCATGATTATTATTAGATGAAAAATCGATGATGAAAAGTACGCAATTTTTTTAATTACATACTGTATATAGACAAGCACTCGAAGTATGTAACTAAATTATGAACAGACGAGGCAAGCAAGAGCCAAACGTGGGATATTTTAAATTATAGGAGGATAATAATGTTTGACAAACGATAACAATGTTTCAGTACCGTCAAACATTATTAACCCCACATAATTTAAAATATTCGCACCTACTTTTGCGTTTAGCTTTCCCAGGGATAGACTTTCGTAATTACGATGTGATAAACGATCAGTAACAAAAACTCTACGATTTTTTTCAATTATATTCATGAGGCAAATATACTGTGTATTAAATTAATTATTAAATTCACGTCATACAATGATGTAAATTTTTTATTACATTAATTAATGCAGCAAATTAAAAGAGTTTATACTTAAAAGGGTGCATAATAAAAGGGTTTTACTTAAATTTTCATACATTTTATATATTGTCTTAACAAATATTGATTATTTTTTTCGTATTTCTTTCGCATTTCTATTTTGCCATTCAATATAATTAATATAAATACGATATGAATAAATAATATGAGTACGTATTTCGTAAGGGACGTAAGCTTTACAAATCGACTAGTAAAGTTGCTGGCAAATTTACATATATCTCTCCGTCTGAGTACTTGTCTTACCTGTATTCTTAATTTTGTAATTACATTTACGAGATATATAATATATTGTATAAATCATTAAAGGACCCCGCACAAAACCTATGGAAAATGGTTTTCGGTCAAATTGGCTGAAATTTCACTATATTATAGTTTTTGCCATGCTGATAAAAAGTTATCATTGCACCAAGTCCCAAAAGTCAATATTTCCCAAGATATAAAGGGTCAAAGTAGTGAAATATGGTCATCTGCAGTAGTAAGACGTATATGTTATACGTATAAGTGATACATTGATATTTATTCACGAAATAAATAAAAATCGATTTTTACATATATATATGTAATAAATATTTAGTTCCGCAATATATATGTATATACAGAGTGGGGCAAAAGTATCGAACCGGTGAAGTATCTCGAAAAATATAAGTTTTACAAAAAACTGTTTCAGATCTTAAAAATATTGCGGAACTAAATATTTATTACATATATATGTGTAAAAATCGATTTTTATTTATTTCGTGAATAAATATCAATGTATCACTTATACTTATAACATATTAGGACCTTAACTTAGTTTCCGCCCGCAAATGTTAGATGGCAATGCAAACAGTTCTAGTAGTCATTACTAACGAAACAGGTAGTTTGTGATTAATTTCGACATTTCTCGATAACATTCAGTCAGCATACACAATTATTTTCCTAAACAACAATTTCTTTTGCTTTGTGAAAAATGGAACGCGATAAAGTGTTTTTTC